CAAGAAATTGCAAGTAGATAAATAGGTACCACTTCGGTGGGAAGGGAACAGCGTTCCGTGCGCCTTGGTGTTTAGTCATGCCGGCCACATGACCACGGAAACGTCTCCGGACAGCGCTGGCTCTTCGGCTTGGAAACGGAGATGAGCACCGCAACCCTAGAGTCGGACTCGACGGGCTTTCGAGCAAGGGAACCTTTACCTTTTACACACCTTTTTGTCTTCGCCCAGGAAGGAGGGCTCCAGAGCAAACCAATTTAGATAGTAGCCACATGACTCGCTCACCACCTTAATGCCAGTAGCGCACAAAGCAGAATTTTTGCTCACAAGACCCCACAGCTTAGAGGGAGCCCTGCTCCAAAAGTATCCCTTCCCTCCGAGGGAGCTGATCTCTACCGTCTGGAGAGGAGCCGTCATCCCAGGGGACCCTACCACCACCTGCGGGCTGGCTCCCGGCGCCCCTGTCTGGAGAGGAACTCTGAGTCCGGGAGGTCTCCAGACGCCACCTGGAGGTTGGCAACCCTGAAAAGAAGGGTGGTCCGCGCTCCTTGGGGCTTTCCCCCTCTCTTGTTCGGCCCGCGGCCCTGGGGGGAGGGCCGGGAATCTCCCACCCACCCCCACTCCTGCCCGCAGCCCCACTCACCTGCCGCCCTTCCCCCGGTAGGCGAGTCGAGGCGGGCAAACCGAGGCCCAACAATAATACTCAGCCCAGACTGTTTCACCTGTTTTAGAATATTATTAATATTGTTTAGAATATCTATTAATATTTATTGATATTATTTAGACTATTGAGCAACAATAATACTCAGCCCAGACTGTTTCACCTGTTTTAGAATATTATTAATATTGTTTAGAATATCTATTAATATTTATTGATATTATTTAGACTATTGAGCAACAATAATACTCAGCCCGGACTGTTTCACCTGTTTTAGAATATTATTAATATTGTTTAGAATATCTATTAATATTTATTGATATTATTTAGACTATTGAGCAACAATAATACTCAGCCCGGACTGTTTCACCTGTTTTAGAATATTATTAATATTGTTTAGAATATCTATTAATATTTATTGATATTATTTAGACTATTGAGCAACAATAATACTCAGCCCAGACTGTTTCACCTGTTTTAGAATATTATTAATATTGTTTAGAATATCTATTAATATTTATTGATATTATTTAGACTATTGAGCAACAATAATACTCAGCCCAGACTGTTTCACCTGTTTTAGAATATTATTAATATTGTTTAGAATATCTATGAGCTCCCGTCTCTGGCCCCAGCTCCTGCCAACCTAGCAGTTCGAAAGCAAGAACTTGCAAGTAGATAAATAGGGACCGCTTCGGTGGGAAGGTAACAGCGTTCCGTGCACCTCGACGTCTAGTCATTCCGGCCATATGACCATGGAAACGTCTTCGGACAGTGCTGGCTCTTTGGCTTGGAAAAGGAGATGAGCACTGCATCCCTAGAGTCAGATTCGACTGGCTTTCGAGCAAGGGAAACCTTTACCTTTATTGCATTAATAGGCATTTGTGTTTTAATATATTTTTAATCCTTTTAGTGCCTGCCTTGGCAGGGAGGGTGGGATAAAAATCGAATAAATAAACTTGGTTCGAGGGGATAGGATCTCAGACCAAGTTTAAAAATCCATCCAACCCTGAAACATTGAGGTAAGATGCCAGATGGCTCTTTTAAAAAAAAAGAACAAAGGTTTTTTTTAGGAAAGAACATAAAACTTGAGATAAACATTGTTTCTTTTCAACAAACCCTCCAAACCTCTCACTCCAGCTCCCCCCCAGCTCCTAACTCCCATCAGTGCTGTTCAAGTGCCCCCTAAAAGTGAGTGTTCCCATTCCAACCCTCCCCTCCCCAAATTCCTCTGCTTTAAGGTGGTAAAGGTTTCCCTTGCTCGAAACCCAGTCGAGTCCGACTCTAGGGGGCGATGCTCATCTCCTTTTCCAAGCCAAAGAGCCAGCACTGTCCGAAGACGTTTCCATGGTCATATGGCCGGAATGACTAGACGTCGAGGTGCACGCAACGCTGTTACCTTCCCACCGAAGCGGTCCCTATTTATCTACTTGCAAGTTCTTGCTTTCGAACTGCTAGGTTGGCAGGAGCTGGGGCCAGAGACGGGAGCTCACTCCGTCACGCGGCACTCGGGTCTCGAACTGCCGACCTTCTGGGGTCCAGCTCAGCATCTTAACCTTAGGGGATAGTTTTCAAGACTCTCATCCTCTTATGCTTAAGTCATCCTTAAAAAAAAACCCTTCTTTTTACTATGATTGTGATCATAGCCAGGCACATAAAGACCATAACTTAGTTTATTTAAGGAAAATGTTCTTTAAACACAGGTGAAGTGCCTAGGATTTGAAGAATGACATATTCAACACAGAAGAATCCAGAGCTGAAAACACCACTTTGATCTGTTTAGGTTTGCTTGGCACCCTACATGAAATGTGCAGAAGAGACTTTAGGATTTTTCTTCCACCCACATGTACATGCGCTTGCACGCTTTTAACACTCGGGCTTTGAAACTCAAAAGTACCGTGCGCTGTTTTGGTATTCGGACTGGTCCTAACAAACAATACTGGGGGGGGGGGGGATTCATTTCACACTAAACTACACGTGCACTCTTAGCGCTGGCAAGAGTAGTAGAAGTTTATCGGGGATTTCTTCAATGCTCCTCTTGGAAACCCAGCAGTATGGACCTTAATGCCCACTGGCTGATGCTGCTTCGCTCCACTTTGAGTCTTTAACCTGTTTAACAGCCCTGCACTATCGCAGAGCTTATTCATTAGCCCATTTCAATGTGTTACCCTCTGCGGTTACGGGAGATTTCATAAAATACCACACGCTAACAGGCTATCCAGATGTAATCGGCGGGAAATAGAGAGCCTTGAACATGTTTTTTTGCACTGTACTCGGGTAATTTCCTGCAGGAGCGAACAGGAGCGGAGCTCCGGCAGTAAGGAGCTCAGGGGGTGGGCACATGCAACAAGCCCCGCCCCCTGCTCCCAGCAGCCCTCAGTCAGGCCATGAGGAACAAGAAGCAGCCAGGTAAGTTGCAGAGCCCCCCTTCAGGTACAAGCTCTCCCTCCTCTGTGAGAACAGATCTGCACGTCCCGTCCCCCCAAATAGCTAGCAATCCAAAACAGTCCAGTGGAGCCTGAGCCCTGGGTGTTGCCTTCTGACACTCTTCCGGTGATGTCAGGGAGCGTGGCATATGCAAATAAGTTATGCTAATGAGCTCCTGCACCTCTTTTTCTACAAAATGACCTGACTGTACTTATTATCTTGCTATACGTTCCACACTTATTGATCTCTTGTTGAGAGCAAGCAGGGAAATCTGATGAACGCAAAATTATTTTATTATCTACTCAGACCCAAACTGTGATGGAAACCGTGGACAAATTTGTGTACATTGCAGCTAGGCGGCGAGCAGTGTATCAGCAGACAGGGCCTTGACTGTTTCCTCCCCATTATAGTTTGCTTGTTATGCCAATAAAGGTTGTTTGTTTGTTCTCTCTGCTTTTCTAGGCATTGCAGGCACTGAGCCCTTC